GCGCTGCTTCAAAGAAGAAGACAGGTAAGTCCTTGGGAGCTCAGGTGAGGAAATATATAGAGAATTAGCGATAAGCAATAATCAAAGAGATAATGGGCTGAAAATTTTTCCATAAAGAACTCTCACGAGACTTCAAGTCCCAGATGAAGGAACAACTGGAACGCCAGAGTAGGGTAATATAAAAATACCCCATGCTATACTGCGGAGTGGCGGTGGGCCACCACCTAGTAATCCCAGCACTTTGGGAGCTGCGCCCCGACGGTGGACCGGATCATGAGGTCAGGCGACTCAAGCCATCCTGGTTACCACACCGCTGAAAACCCTCCATCTAACCCCACATACAAAAAATCTAGCCAGCGCGTGGCCTCGCGCGCGCGCCCTGTAGTCCCCAGCTCACTCCGCGGAGGCTGAGGCAGGCACAATGGTTGAACCCGGGAGGTGGAGCTTCCAGTGACAGATCCACTCGCCACTCGCACTCTAGCTGGGTGACAGAGCGAGACTCCATCTCAAAAATGAATGAATGAATGAATGAATAAAATAAGCATCATATTGATATATCCCTATTGAAAACTGTAGAATAAAAAAAGCAAATCTTATTAAAAAAAGGGCTGCTCGTGCACTGCTACCCCGTCGACAGTTTAAGCTGCAAAGCTAAGGTTTCAACAATGTGTGTGGCTATTCCGGAATTTAATAAATATACAAGTAAAACTTCATTTATTGACATGAAATTGAATATTATATAATTTATCATGTTATAAATCTTATTATCCCCTATTTGACTTTTCTCCAACCATTACAAATATAAAGAACATTCCATTGTGACTATACCTTGCTGATTCCTAATGCAGACTTCTAATGACGGAAATCACCACTTCTGAAATTGCTTTTCTGTTAGGATTGTAGAATGGAATGTCTGGTGAGAGTGGCTCAGGGTTGTGAGACCAGCCTGGCACATAGTGGAAAACACGTTGTCTTCTACTGAAAAATATCAAAGATTACTGGGATGGGTGGCATGTGCCTGTAATCGTTAGCTACTGGGAGGCTGGGCAGTGGAGAATCGCTTCAACTGGAGAGGATGCGTGAACCGAGATTGTGCCCTGCCTCCAGCCTGGGAGACAGTGAGACGCGTCTCAAAAAAAAAAGAACAAAGAATGATTAAAAAGGTTGTTAGTTGCGTTCTGTGTTAATTGCCGGTTTGTTCCATATTCAATGATTTTGTCATTTTTCCTTTTTTCCTATGTTTGTTCTGATTATATTTATCTGAAATGTACATTGGTATGTCTAACCTGATAAACTCGGTCGGGCTTGTACTTCTGTATTTTTTATTTTTTTTTGAGACAAGAAGTCTTGCTCTCGATCCGCCCAGGCTGGAGTGCAGTGGGCGCAAATCTCGGCTCACTGCAACCTCTGCCTCCCAGGTCAAGCGATTCTCCTGCTTAGCCTCCTGAGTACGACTTAGCTGGGATTACAGGCGTGCGCCACCACACCCGGCTAATTTTTTTTGTATTTTTCATAGAGATGGGGTTTCACCCTGTTGGTCAGGCTGGTCTCGAACTCCTGATCTCGTGATCCGCCTGCCCCGGCCTCCCAAAGTGCTGGGATTGCAGGCATGAACCACTACGCCTGGCCTCTGTTATGTTTTTTATTTCATTTTTCTAGTTTTTAAAATTTTTGTTATTATTTTTTTTTTTGAGATAGATCTCACTCTGTCTTCCAGGCTGGAGTATAGGGGTGCAATCACGGCTCACTGCAGCCTCCCAGGCTCAGTGATCCTTCCACCCCAGCTCCCCAAGTAGCTGGGACTATGGGCGCCCAACCATGCCTGGCTAATTTTTGTATTTTTTGTAGAGATGGGGTTTTGCCATGTTTCCCAGGTTGGTCTCGAACTCCTGGGCTCAAGTGATCCTCCCACCTTGGCCTCTCAAAGTGCTGGGATTACAGGCATGAGGCATCGCACCCGGCTAGTTCTTCTTATGAAAGTACCGGACCATGACCGATTAGAAATAAAAACTGGTCCTTTACCACAGCTAGTTGGAAGACCACTGGTTTAGGAGTTCCTGCATCCAATGGGTACCCCCAAAGTCCCTTGAATGGGGGTTGAGGGTGGGAAGTCTGTGGGGCCTGGAAAGGTGGGAGTGACAGCAGGAGTCTGGGTGTCCATTCATCTAACTCAGAGCCCTGAAGGCCCCGCTGTGTTGGGTGCTGCAGTGGTTCGTGGGACCCATGTTTCGGTGGGGGAGACAGACTGTGCGGGCAGGTGCACCAACAGGGCCTCCCAACTCTTGCTCACTCAGCCAGCCTCTTGGTAGGCTGGTAGGGGAGACCAGCTCAGTGCTGGTTTCCTTCTCCCTCCCCCACAGTGTCATGGAAGAGCCCTGGGCCAGGAAGCTGGAGCCCTGGGTTATGTTTCTAATTCTACCTACCACCTGCTGGCTGTCCTTGGGCGAGTCAGTCCTCATCTGTAAAATGGGACTGAGGTAATGAAAATTACGAGATATAACCCGTGTTCACTGCTTAGCGCAGGGCCTAATGCCTTTTTTTTTTTTTAAATAGAGATGGGGTCTCACCATGTTATCCAGGTTGGTCTCGAACTCATGGGCTCAAGCGATCCTCCGACCTTGGCCTCTCAAAGTGCTAGGATTACAGGCTTGAGCCACTGCGCCCGGCCATCCTGGTGCATTTTAACAACTTGATAACTGGTAGCGACTATGATCTCAGATTTCAGGCTTCTCAAAGATTCTGTTTCTTGGTTCCTAAGATTCTGAAATGCTCTGATTTTCCAAAATTCTGAGATGGTTTGTTTCTAACATTCTGCATTTCCAAGTCTTTGATCACTGAGGGTGTCCGTCAGGCACGGCTTCCTATGCCCTCTGCCCCCAGGTTCTCCCAACCTCTGGGACTGGGAAGGCAGGCAGTGGGTGGAGGGGGCTGGGCCGCTGCCTTGGCATGGCCCACATTCAGGGCTGGCTGTGGCAGCCCAGGGCCCCAGAGCCAGGCTGGAACTAGGATACCAGCCTCCAGGCCCCAGGCCTGCGTCATCTCTGAGTGCTCTCGGCCAGGGCCACCAGACAGAGACGGGCTGGTTGAGTCATCCAAGGGCTGGGGGTGGGGCAGGCTGTTCTGGCTGCCTCCTGGCTGGCAAGGCAGGCTTTCTACGGCCAGCTGTGCCCCTAACATGCCCCGTACCTTTGGGCAAGCCTCAGCATCAGGGCTGCCACGCGTTTGGTGGTACTCGAAGCCCTTCAGCCTCAGGGTCAGTCCTTGGGAGGGGGGCTGTGGTCAGGCTGGTAGGCTGGGCTAGTGGTGGCAGGGCAAGAGGAGAGCAATTGTCTCTGGTGGAATTAACTACTCTTTTATTAGCACAAAATAATAGCAACCTAGCAGCCGCATGGCCCGAGAATAAGTTAAGGCACAGAGCAGGCGAGGGGCGGCTTTCCCAGGGCCAGGCCTGCATTCCCCAAACTTCCTGAGCAAACTCCCTAGGGGCTGGGGTTTCGAGGGCCCTGGAGGGCCTCTTCCCTTGAGATGAGGGGAACGGAACAGGGCGTGGGTCAGAGAGACGCCCACGTGGATGCAAGGAGTCCACGCTGCGCCGCGGTCACTTCTCGAAGTAGGGCAGGTAGAAGAACTGGAAGCCCCGGTGGCCCTTGACCGCGCAGTAGATGAAGATCACGTGATAGACTGTGGGGCAGGGCCTGTCAGCGCAGAGGCCCCTCCCCTCCCCACGACCCCGCCCTCAGTCCCGCTCCGCAGCCCCTCCCCTCCTCTCCTCGCGGCCCCGCCCCTTCCGCCCCGGTGGTCGCTCCCACCTCCAGGCACCAACAACAGGAAGCCCGGCACGAAGAAGATGGCGCTGGAGACACCTGCGGGAGGGACCACAGCCCGGTCAGGGCAAGGGGGCAGGGGCTGCGAGGCCTTCCGGGCTGCCGCTGACTGCCCGGGCAAGCCTCTCTCCCAGCTGAAAAGTGGCCGTGTACTGCCGGGAGGTGGGAGGGCTTGCCGTGGACCCGTGGACACAAGACAGGGGTGTCCTCTGCCTGTGGGGGCGGGAGGGTCGCTCACCTGGAGAGGGGGTCGCCTCCAGTCCCACGCCGACCAGGATCAGCACTGCACACAGACGGAGCCGCGGGGGTGGGGGCAGGAGCAGTGGTGAGGGCGGGGGCTCCCACCCCCAGCCCGGCTCAGCCCTAAGGAATGATGCCCCCCACCACCTGAGCTGAAGGTGCCCTAGGCAGAGACCTTCTCCAGGAAGCTCACCAAGCTCTGTTTCCAGAGCAAGGCACTGAGCAGGCCCTGGGAAGTGTGTGAAACTTGAGAGATTTTTATTTGCTCCTTGGGGTGGGCTTCTAGTCATTCAACAAACATTTATGGAACACCTACTGAGTGCCTGGTACTGGGAATTCCGCCCTGAAGGGCAGAAAAGGCCCCTGCCCTCATGGCCCATCCTTAGTGGACGAACCAATAAGAACCTGAAAGCTAACAGTACAGGTGATCGGGATATGGGTGGTAAGAAGAGGGCAGTGCAGGGGTCCTGGGTTCGCAGTTAGAAGAGGGATGGGGGAATGAGGAGCTGGACTTTGGGCTCTGCAACAAGGAGGGGCAGTAAGCCTGGGGGAATGGGGGGCCACCATGGACTGCTGTGTGCTTTGTGCATTGCCCCGACTACTTCTAAAAGGGTAGGCCAGGTGCGGTGGCTCATGCCTGTAATCTCAGTGCTTCAGGGAGCCAGGGCAGGAAGATTGAGGCCAGGAGTTCGAAGCCAGCCTGGGCAACATAGCAAGATCCCCATCTCTAAAAAAAAAAAAAAATTAGCCCAGTCCAGGCATGGTGGCTCATGGCTATAATCCTAGCACTTTGGGAGGCTCACTTGAGTTCAGGAGTTCAAGACCAGCCTAGGCAACATAGTGAGACCTTATTTTTTTTTTTTTTTTTTTTGAGACGGAGTCTCGCTCTGTCGCCCAGGCTGGAGTGCAGTGGTGGGATCTTGGCTCACTGCAACCTCCGCCTCCCGGGTTTATGCCATTCTCCTGCCTCAGCCTCCCAAGTAGCTGGGACTACAGGCGCCCACCACCGCGCCCAGCTAGTTTTTTTGTATTTTTTTAGTAGAGACGGGGTTTCACCGTGTTAGCCAGGATGGTCTCGATCTCCTGACCTCGTGATCCGCCCGTCTCAGCCTCCCAAAGTGCTGGGATTACAGGCTTGAGCCACCACGCCCGGCCATCTCTATTAAAAAAAAAAAAAAGTTTCCCTAGTCCCAGCTACTAGGGAGGTTCAGCTGGGCGGATGGCTTGAGTCCAAGCGTTTGAGGCTGCAGCGATCATACCACAGCACTCCAGCTTGGGCAACAGAACAAGACCCCATCTCTAAAAAAATAAAAAGGGCTGGGCATGGTGGCTCACACCTGTAATACCAACACTTTGGGAAGCCAAGGCGGGTGGATCACCTGAGGCTAACATGGTGAAACCCCACCTCTACTAAAAAAATACAAAAAATTAGCCAGGTGTGGTGGTGGGCACCTGCAATCCCAGCTACTCTGGAGGCTGAGGCATGAAAATTCCTTGAACCCAGGAGACGGAGGTTGCAGTGAGCTGAGATTGTGCCACTGCACTCCTGCCTGGGCGACAGAGCAAGACTCCTTCTCAAAAAAAAGGGGGGGGTATAGGGTATGATGGGGGCTGAAACTCACTCCCTGCACCCTAGAAAGGCCCTCTAAGGAGCTCTGGTAGCCCCAGACTTGCCTTGCTGGGTTGAGAGGGGACAAATGAAAGAACTTGGCAGCACTACCAGGGCCGGTGTGCAGCGGTGCTGGGAAGTGGCAGCCCCCTCCCATGCACTCAAACACCCAGAGAGGAGGCCAGATTGTGTGCTGGGGGCCTGGCTGGCTGGGAAGCCTTGGCCTTCCTGGAGAAGCGGAGAGATGAGCCAGGGTAGCAGCCACAGTTGGTCCCTCCTTAAGGGTCACTCGTGACCCCAACCCTGGATCCTTTCTGGGGACTCTGCCTCCTCTACCCCAAAGAACGAGGTGCCTGGGAGCCAGAGGACACCTGGTGTGAGATCTGCCTGCTCTGGACCAAAAGTTCCCCCATCGGAGCAATGGGTAGGAGAGGGCTGCTTGTCAGCGCCTAGATGCCAGATAAGGGGAAGTGCCAGGTGCCCTGCGGCTCTGCACTGGCTGGGAACTCGGCATCCCTGAGCCCCTACACGTGGCTCTTCTGGGCACCACCTCACTTGTAGGACTTCTGTAAGGTGGGAAAATAAAACTGCCCTGTACCTTGCCCAAAGTAGACACAGAATAAATGGTAGCTGCTACTCTTCTGTCCTCTAATGGATTAAACAGGTTAAATTTTTTTAAAAAGGAAAAGTCTCTGGAGTGATAAGCCAGGTTCCATTTTCAGCTATGTGTGATTTCCTGATTGTGTGCCCAGGTTGCAAGGCCTCTGTCTCCTCACCTGTAAACTGGGGCTGTGATGATGGCAGCCAGCTGCCCCCTCAGGATGCTGGGAGGCTCAGTGTCAAGGGGGAGGCAGAGCCTCCCACGGGGCCCCTCTTGACTCCAACCCTCAGGGCCACTCACCCAGCCCCAGCAGCAGGAGCAGGAAGGAGGCCAGCACCACTCGACGGTTCTTCTGGATCAAAGGGTGTTGGGTCCAGCTGGGTGGCAGGAGAGCAGGGTGAATGTGAAGGAGGTGGAGGAAGGGGGTGCAGGAGGCTGCAGGGGTAGAGCCAGGGCTGCTTGGCTGGGGGCTCAGGTGGGCAGGCTCACCTGCAGCAGGTGTTGTAGGAGCGCTGGGTGCCGCTGCTGATGGTGCTAAAGGACCACTGGGAGCTGCGGATGGAAGTTCGGCCGGAATCCCTGCAGGACAGGCGCCCAGTGAGGGGCAGGGAGGCAAGGATGGGGTCGCTTTGGGACAGAAGTCCTGATGAAGTACAGGGTGTGGTGCAGGGACTGGGGCTGGCCCCTTGCAGGACAGTGGACTCTGAGAGGCCTCGGTGGGTGAGGATGAATTTAGGGACTGCGGATGAGCTAGGGGTGTCTTTAGGACAGGTGACCTATATGAAGGTGGGGGCCAGACCAGACTAGGGGTTTCTGAAAGAGGTGAGTACAGCTGGGCACTAGGGTAGGGTGACCCTGCAGTGTAGGGGACCCTGTGAGGAAAGTGAGGGTCAGACTAGGAATCAATAGGACGGGATGGAAGTGAGTGAAGTGGGGTGGGCGACTGAGCAGGGTCCCTGGGGATAGGAGCTGGGGCTGGGGCACAGGGTTGGGTCCCCACCTGGCCCTAACCTGGTGCTGACTCCCCCATCCGGCTCCGGAGAGATCTGGGCTCCATCCTCATCGTTCTCCAGGTTCTGTTGCAGAACACAGGTCTCAGGAGGGTTGCTAGGCTGGGGCCCTTCCTCATCCCTTCCCAGGGAGAGAAAGCAGGCCTACACAACCATTTGCCTGGCCGCCTGGCAGCTGCTCACCTGGCCCTCCGCCCTCCCTGCAGAACGGGTTTGGTGAATCACAGAAACCAGGTAGGAGGTGGGTGGATGCCAGGGCTTTGGGGAGCAGGAGCCTGCACAGGTCCCAGGGAAAGGAGAGCTCCCAACTTTGGGAGTCAGGGTGGAGCTCTCATTCAGTGGCCTAGAATGGGAGCTTAGGAATTGGGGTGCCAGGGAAGGCCAGGCCCAGGGTTCCCAGGTTCAAGGTACAGGGATCTGGTCCAGGTCTCCAAGAAAAGCAGCCTAGGATTGGTGGAGGTTTTCTGGGAAAATGGGGATTGATTTCTGGTTTAGTGGGAACCAAAGGGTGGGCAAGGACTGGTCATGTCAGAGGGGCTCCAGCTCTTAGGGGTGATGGTGGGATTAGGGTGAGGGCTTTCAGAATAGAGAAAGGCGTGCGGGTTCCCATCAGCTTAGCTGGCCTGGGGCACAGGGGATGCTCCTGCGTGTGGGCAAGGTCTGGTTCAGATACAGAGGAGCTCCCCCAACCCAGCGGGGGCCAGGGGCGATACCCAGGATGAGTAGGGAATCGGCTGGGTTCCCCAGCTGGAGCTGAGGGATGAGCTCCTGGGCCTGGGCTGTGGACTCTTCCCGGCTGGCTGGGGCCCGGTATCGGAACTGGGAGGGCCTGGGCAGGGCTGTGGATCAAGAGTCACGTCCGGGGGTGGGGGGGCGGTCTCGCATTTCAGCTGGGGCCTCTAGGCAGATTCTCCCCCGAGTTGAGGCCTCTGGGGCCCGGCCTGGGGTCCCGTCCGGCCGGGGACAGGGGGTGAGGTGGGCCGGGCGGTTCACCTGGTAGCGCAGCCGGGACTGCTTGTCCTCGTCAGCCACCTCGAACCGGGCCCGACGCTCGAAGTGCAGCGGCCCAAAGCGCGCGACCCCGCTAGCCTCGGGCCCAGGGCCCGCGTCCTCCAGGGACAGCTCGAAGGCATCATCAATGCTGAACTGGGGCCGGGCGGCGCTCATGGCCCCGGCCCGCTCAGGCGCCGTGCGCCGCCGCCATCTGCGCCCACACGCCCAGCGTCGCCGCGGCCCCGCCCCCACATGCCCCGCCCCTCCGGCCCTGGCTCCGCCCCACACGCCAGCACCGCCCCCGTTCGCCCTAAGCAGGCCAGAGCTGCCGAGCGCCGAGCGGGCTGATGGGTGGGAGCCTCTTCAAGACTGAGCGCGCCTGGCCAGTGACGCCACTCAGTGGCCGCCATGGCGAGCGACAGCCGATGCCGGGCTCTGACACAGCCCCCAGACCTGTAGGTGGGGGCCTTGGAGGGGCTCCACGCCCCAACCTCCAGGTCCCTGACAGGGCCTTTTGCACCGCAGCGTGTTCCTCGAGTGCCAAGGAGACTCCGGGAAAGTGTTTCCCCACCTTACTCACAACAGCCCTGAACCGCAGGGGTACTCTCCCCATTTTTGCAAATGTGGAAACCCAGGCTCAGAGAGCTTATGTGTCTTCCACTTCTGCAGTCCAGTCTTCACGCAGCAGCCGAAGTGATCTTTTAAAACGAATCTTTTTATCTCTGTGTTATTCTTAAATGAAACCTTTTTTAAAAATTATGCTGCTGGCCGGGCTCGGTGGCTTACTCCTGTAATCCCAGCACTTTGGGAGGCCGAGGCGGGTGGATCACTTGAGGTCAGGAGTTCCAGACCAGCCTGGCCAACAGGCGAAGAAACCCTGTCTTTACTAAAAACACAAAAAGTAGCCGGGCGTGGTAGCGCATGCCTATAGTCCCAGCTACTTGGGAGGCTGAGGCAGAAGAATTGCTTGAACCCAGGAGGCAGATGTTGCAGTGGGCCGAGACTGAGCCACTGCACTCCAGCCTGGGCGACAGAGCAAGACTCCATCTCAAACAAAACAAAACAAAACAAAACAAAAAACTTTCCCTTGGTTTTCCATTGCACTTAGAATAAAATCTGAACTCTTGGCAGGACATGTGGCTCACACTTGGGGAGGCCGAGGTGAGTGGATCACTTGAGGTCAGGAGTCCGAGACCAGCCTGGCCAACAGGGTGAAACCCAGTCTCTACTAAAAATACAAAAATTAACCGGGCACGGTGGCCTGTGCCTATAATCCCAGCTACTTGGGAGGCTGAGGCAGGAGAATTGCTTGTACCCTGGAGGCAGAGGTTGCAGTGAGTGGAGATACCACTGCACTCCAGCCTGGGCAACAAAGACTCCGTCAAAAAAAAACAAAACAAAACAAAAAAAAACCATGGGGACTGGTGAGGGTGAGGGTGGAAGACAGCAGAAAGCAGAAGTGCTCTGTGAATTAGGTGGACCTGGGTTCAAATCCCCATTCTACCACTTGGAAGTATTTGGGACTTTGGCAAACCCCTCATTCATTTCTGCCACAAGTATTTATTAAACATCTATTCAGGGCCAAACACTGTTTTGGGTACTATAGATACAGTGGTGAATAAAACAGTGCAAAATGAGACAATTTCAAGTGCTGTGTGATGCAAAACTGACTTTAGATTCCGCCGTCAGATGACCTTTCCAAGAGGTGACATTTGAGCAGGAATGCCGATGATGAAGGAGCCAGCTCTGAGAAAAGCTAGGTTCAGTGTTTTCCTGGCACCAGGGAACAGCACGTGCAAGGGCCAGGAGGTGGGAAGGAGCTTGGCCTGTGGAGGAAGAATGTGAGAAAGCCAGTGAGGCTGAGCATCGAGGAAAGGGGAGGGGTGACCTGAGCCTGGGAGGAGTAGACGGGCCCGAGAGCCTTGAGAGCTTTGTGGACCTTAGGCAAGAGTTAAAATATTATTTTTTTTGAGACGGAGTCTCGCTCTGTTGCCCAAGCTGGAGTGCAGTGGCGCGATCTCAGCTCACTGCAACCTCCGACTCCTAGGTTCAAGTGATTCTCCTGCCTCGGCCTCCCGAGGAGGCTGGAATTACAGGCATGAGCCACAGCGCCCTGCCTAACTTTTTGTTTTTCTTTTGAGACGGAGTCTCGCACTATCACCCGGGCTGGAGTGCAGTGGCAAGATCGCGGCTCGCTGCAACCTCCGCCTCCTGGATTCAAGTGATTCTCCTGCCTCAGCCTCCCGTGTACCTAGGATTACAGGCGTGAGTCGGATTATAGGTATGAGCCACCACACCCAGCCTCCACGGTTCATTTTATGGCCTCATATACAGAGCTGAGTCAAGTCTACTTCTCAGTTTGTTACACATCAACACTATGAACAAGGGCCCCCTCGAGTTATGTTAATTCACTTTCCCTCTTTCACTTCCCAGCTTCCTTCCTCTCCCCTGCCATCCATCAGACCCCATGTCAGCACGCTCAGTCGGAGTCCTTGAAGCCTGCCTGGCTCTGTACCATGCATGGCACTGTCTCCTACGTGGATGTGTTTGTAATTTTCATGCCTGATGTCATGCAGGAAATTCAATTCTGTTATTTACACGTTTACATTTTCGCTCTCGATGCTGTTTTCCATATGCATCTTGTTTGTTGTTTCTACAAGCTACATGCGTGTTATACCATGTTGAGTGTCTAGCACCTTTATGATCCACCTCACCTCCACAGTGTTGCACACTCAAACTGGCCTCAACCCCGCCATCACAGGCATCCCTGCAGTTAACATCTTCCTGCTGTCCCGTTATGGACTGTGGGAGAATTCCCCTTGGAGTGGGATTTCCAGGATAGAGTACACGCACTCATGACTTCACAAAGTACCACAGATGCTCTCCTGAGTGGCTGTGAGAGTTGACACTCGACCTGGAGGCTTCTGGTTCTCTCAGAACTTGGTACCATCCAACTTTTTAATGGCTTGCTGATCTGATGAATTTAAAGTGGTTCCTCATGTTCCTCTGAGTTCTCTGATGGCTGGAGAGTTTGAGCCGCTCTTTGTGCCCTTGTCAGCCATTGGGATTCCCTCGTCTGTGAACTGGCTCTTCATATCTTTTGTCCTTCTTTTTGCTATTGGGTTTCTAGCCTTTTTTCTACTAATTTGCATATCTAATATCTAATCATTAGTTCCTTGCTGGTTTATGACCTTGAACATATTTCCTATCTGTCTGTCTTTGTCTCCTTGTCTAACATGCTCTTAGTTAAAGAATAATCACTCCTTCTCAGGCCGGGTGCAGTGGCTCATGTCTGTAATCCCAGCACTGTGGGAAGCTGAGGCAGGAGGATCACTTGAGCCCAGGAATTCAAGATCAGCCTCAGCACAGCAAGGCTGATGCGGGGCAGGTGATCCCCAAAATTGGGGCTTAGCCCAAGAGAGTTTTTGACGTCACCTGGGAAAGAATTCAAGGGTGAGCTGGTGGTGTTAGACAGCACATCAAACTTTTTTTTTTTGAGACGTAGTGTCGCTCTGTCGCCCAGGCTGGAGTGCAGTGGCACGATCTCGGCTCACTGCAAGCTCTGCCTCCCGGGTTCATGCCATTCTCCTGCCTCAGTCTCCCGAGTAGCTGGGACTACAGGCGCCCGCCACCTCGCCTGGCTAATTTTTTGTATTTTTAGTAGAGACGGGGTTTCACCGTGTTAGCCAGGATGGTCTCAGTCTCCTGACCTCGTGATCTGCCTGCCAAAGAGTCTAGAAATTCTTGAATTCTTGAATTCCCTTTAAGGCCTGACCTGTGTGGGTGGCTAAGGATTCTAGGGTTTGAATCAAGTTCTTCATGGTTGACTCGTGGTAAGCAGAGCCACCCAAGGGTGCCACTAGTCCTATTGCTGCCCTGATTCCCACCAAAATTAATCCTATTGCCACTTACTTCTGGTGTTCTTGGGTCTTATGGGGTTACAGACTGTGGCCTCTGGAGGGGCAAGAGCAGCTATTATCCATTCACCTCTGTTCCAAGTTTTTTATTTTTATTTTTTAAGACAAAGTCTCAAAAAAATTAGCAGGGCGTGGTGGCGGGTGCCTGTGGTTCCAGCTACTCGGTAGGCTGAGGCCAGAGAATTGCTTGAACCAGAAGGCGGAGGTTACAGTGAGCCGAGATTGTGCCATTGCACTCCAGCCTGAACAACAGGGCAAGATTCCTTCTTTTTTTTTTTTTTTTTTGAGATGGAGTCTCGCTCTGTCGCCCAGGCTGGAGTGCAGTGGCACGATCTCGGCTCACTGCAAGCTCTGCCTCCCGGGTTCACGCCATTCTCCTGCCTCAGCCTCCCGAGTAGCTGGGACTACAGGCGCCCGCCACCTCGCCCGGCTAATTATTTTATATTTTTAGTACAGACGGGGTTTCAGCATGTTGGCCAGGCTGGTCTTGCACTCCTGACCTCATGTGATCTGTCTGCCTCGGCCTCCCAAAGTACTGGGATTAGGTGTGAGTCACTACCCCTGTCCGGTCCAAACAACCAGTTCTTTTTCCCTCTGGACTGTGGTGCCATTTTTATCATACAGCACTTATAGAGCTGCCTACATATATATTGTTCTAAGCTCTCTTTTTGGTTCTTTGGCCCACCTCACTATTTCTTACCAGTATCTTACGCTTGTCATCATTATGGTTTTCGGTGTGGTTTAATGTGAGGACCCAGCCCCTTCTCCTTGGTCATCTTGTTCAAACTTGACCTAGCTTTTCATGGACCTTTATTCTTTATAGAAATGTTACAAAAATGTTTTCCAGGTTCTTAAAAAATCCTCCCAATTTCTATTCGGATTTCATTGAATTCACAGATTAATTTCAGAAGAAATCACATCTTTGTGTTAAGTTGTTCTGTTTATTAACAAGATATGTCACATCAGTTATTGAGATCTTTTGTGTTATAAAATTTTGTTGTTCAGGCCAGGCACAGTGGCTCATGTCTGTAATCCCAGCACTGTGGGAAGCTGAGGCAGGAGGATCACTTGAGCCCAGGAATTCAAGATCAGCCTCAGCACAGCAAGGCTGATGCGGGGCAGGTGATCCCCAAAATTGGGGCTTAGCCCAAGAGAGTTTTTGACGTCACCTGGGAAAGAATTCAAGGGTGAGCTGGTGGTGTTAGACAGCACATCAAACTTTTTTTTTTTGAGACAGAGTCTAGTTCTGTCACCCAGGCTGGAGTGCAGTGGCGCAATCTCGGCTCACTGCAAGCTCCACCTCCCGGGTTCACGCCATTCTCCTGGCTCAGCCTCC